GCTTTTAATCATACACTATACTGTGACTGCTGACCTCAAGTGGAATTGGCCTCTGGTCAAAGATGACAGAAGAATAACATTTATTTACCTATTCTTCCTCCTGAAACCTCACTAAAATGATAGTAAAGTTTATTTTAAAATGCTTATCCCTGGTGGGGAGGAGGTGTGGAGAGAGGAATGGTGGTAGAGGGAAAATAACAGTAACATTCTGAAATCTGGAAACAGATGGACAAATCATAAATGATTAGATACTACCAAGGAAACTAAATCTGAAACCAAGAAGCAACCCCATTTAAAGTGCAGAGTCCACAAAGGCTCAGGAAATTACCAAGTTAGCTATCTCTAGAAGTGAGGATAAAATTGGGATTAAAAAAAAAAAGAAATATTGGTTAAAACCCTTTGGACACAGAGAAATGGAACTTCTAAGAAAAAAAGGAAATGCTACAAGTCAAAGACACTGTAAGAGAAGTGAAGGTTGCCTTTGATGGGCTCATTAGTGGACTTGACATGACTGAGAAAACAATCAGCGAGCCTGAAGGTAGGTAAATAGAAACTTCCTAAAGTGTAATGCAAATTCTCTTGAAGAAAAGAATTTAAAAGGCAGAATGGAATTTCCAAGAACTGTGGGGAAATTTCTAAAGTTATAGCATATGTGTAATTGAAATATCAGAAAGGAAAGAAAGAGAGGTTGGAGCAGAAGAAACCCTGGAGGTAATAATGGCCAGGAACTTTGTAAAATCAGTAACACACACCAAACTACATATCCTGGGAAGTCAGGGAACCCCAAGCAGGATAAATACCAAAAATAAAAACAAAAAACAAGTAAACAACAACAACAAACAAACAAAACCCCTACAGTTAGCTATATCATACTCAAACTGCAGGAAATCAAAGACAAAGGGAAAATATTGAAAGAAGTCTGAGAAAAACAACCTACCTATAGAGGAATAAGGGTAAACATTACATGAGACTTTTTATCAGAAACCACAGAAGCAGGAAGTAAGTGGAATGAAATATTTGAAGTGCTGAAAAAAAAATCACCAATCTAGAATTATATATTCAGAAAAATTATTTTTCAAAAGTGAAAGAGAACTTAAAACTTCTGTAGACAAACAAAAACTGAAGGAATTCGTTTTCAACAGACTTGCTTTACAAGAAATGTTAAAAGAAGTTCTTAAGACAGAAGGAAAATACTGTGCATCAGAAATTTGGATCTACATGAAGAAAAAAAGCATCAGAGAAGAAATAAATGAAGACAGAATAAAATATTTTATTTTTCCTATTCTTAATTGACTTAAAAGATACTATTTAAACCAATAATAGTAACAATGTATTGGGTGGTTATAGTGTATAGATAAGTAAAATGCATTTCACAAGTGATAAGAAGGAGGAATTGACAATCCTCTGTTAGAAATCACCTGTATTACATGCAAAGTGGCTTAATGTTATATGAAGGTAGATTTAATTAGTTTGAAATGTATATTTTAAACTCTAATGCGACTAATATTTTTTTTAAAAAGAAGTATAATTGATACACTAGAAGAGATAAAATAGAATCATATAAAATGCTGTTTGAAACCAGAGACATCATAAAAAGGGAAGGTGGGCAGACAGATACAAACTGCAAGAATAAATAGAAAAGAGTTACAAACTAGGTAGATATTAATCCAACAATGTGAATAATTAATTCAATTTTAAATAGTCTAAACAGACCAATTAAAAGACAGATTTTGAGGGTGGATTAAAAAAAGTCTCTAATATATGTATCCATAAGAAACCTATTTTAAATATGAAGGTTCAAATCAAAAGTTAAGGGGTGAAGAAAAATATGCCATGCTAATCGAAAGAACGCTGGAGTAGCAATGTTAACTTCAGAGGTAGATGATTTCAGAATAAGAGAAATTATCAGGGATTAAGAAGGATGTTACAGATTAACTGACTGCTGTGTGTTTTCACTTACCATATCTCATTTATTCCTCATGAAAATCCAGTTGTTGGGAGCACTTACTCTGTTTGAATATAGCGAAATTAATAAAATGCAAAAAAACAGCATGGCACTGGTTTCTTTTTATTAAGTAAATTCCATTAAAACAGCAAACAGAAAACTGCACGTGAAAACTACAAACAGGAACTCAACACATCATTATGTTCATTCATCTTGAGTTACATTGGTTACTGTCAGATAAGCCTATTGAAAACTGCTGACACCGTTGCAGTTCCCAGGTAGGCATGAGACCCAGGGGGACGTGTGGTCATCAGAACCTTTCACTCTGGCCTATTGCCATGTGTGGTCCTTGGTGATCTTGTTTCACAGGCTCCCAATGCTGTGCAGCCTCTGACACATGCAATGTTGGTGGCAGTGTCGACTGCTTCCTGGTGTCTCACAGCTTTGCCACATGGCTTGATGCTGTGTTTGGTGTGTGCTTAGCACATTTCCTCTGCCTTGCCAAGTCTGAGTTTGCTCCACTTAATGCAGCTTCTGCCTCGGTGTCCTGCTACCATTTATCATCCACAAACATCTCACCCTGCAGAGCAGAGCTGGAGGGAGTGTGGCTTCAGTGTTGCTGGGCTGGCTAGAATCCAGGGTCTTATTGCCGGTGATCTGCAATTCCGTTCAATAATAAAAAGGGCTGATGGTGTTGCTGGTGAAACTGCCTGAGAAATCCACATGCTGGCAGGTCTGCGCCCACAGCCACTGCCCGCTGTACGTCAGTGTTTCAGGCCACTGACCTCACTCATAGATGCATGGTCCTCTGTGTCACCAACTTTATACAGTCTGCCTTAAAGAAATAGACAATATATTATTTGGTCTGATGTGGGAAATGGCATAGTTTTTTATATTGTTAAAGAGATAGTTGGTGTCTCTTCATTCTTAAGTGTACCTGGTGATTCATTAACTTAAGCAAGAAATTAAAACATTAGTGTTATGTTATAAATATTATTCTTTAAAAAAATTGTCAATGAACTAGAGGACCTTAGCTCTTAAAACTCAGATTAGACTTAAAAACAAAATAAAATAAATAAACACATAGTTTAACCTGGATATTAATACCACAGTCCTCCGCTACACTTCCTGGCTTTGGGAGTTTATTTTATACATATTAGTTTTATTTAACATCCTCTTATATCGTGATTATTATATGTCAGGTGGTTTTTTAAGCACTTGACAAATATGACATCATTTAATGTTCATAGCAACTGTATGAACTAGGTACTGTTATTATCCCCATTTTATGGATTTGGAAACTGAGATGCAAGAAGCTTAAGTAACATGCCATAAGTCACACAGTTAGAAAGTGGCAGAGCTGAAAGTCCACCTAGGGAGAGATGCTGCATAAACTGAGACTATAACCACTTCTGTGTTTTATCTTCTGACCCACGATAGCAAATCCCCAGTGCTAAATTTCAGTGTAACTTCCAGCCAAGCTCCTACTTCTATGGAAACATATTTTATTATTCTCTCTATAACACAACACATTAAGGACACCCTAGATGTTTACTGATTGCAGAGGAACTAGACGTGATGTGAAAGCAGTTCAGTTTTGACCCAAAACTAACAATTAAGTGAGGCAGTGAAGTTTAGTGAATTGCTCACAGAAGCCAAATAAGATTCACAGCCTTAAAAGGAAAAAAGCTCAGGAGAACTATACTATCCAGCCTCACGCTGACTGGGACCCCTTAGATAAACTGAAAACAACAACAGCATCAAATGAGTGAGGCCGCCTGGTATGGGCAAAAGATGGCAGGCTGGGGATCACGAGTGGAAGAGCTCGCATCCTGGAATAATTGAGTTATTTCGGGGGAGTCAGAATATAACCTTGTAGTTTCTGGAATCAGACAAACCCAGCTTTCCTGTTTCTGCCCTGGGCAACTTTGGGGGGTAGGTGCATAGCTGCTCACTTTCTTTCCCTTCAGAGCAGACCTGTTTTCTACTTTTTTTTTTTATTCGTATTGTCTTACAATATCTAACTGGACAAAGCCGATCTTACTTAAACGTATTCGTTCATCCTAGACAATGAAATGGTGAATACCTATGTATTAGGTGCTAGGATGTGTAACTAGGTTCAGGGCTATGTTCTGAGAGTACAAAGTGACAGAGACTAGGTTCCTGTCTTCAGAAAGCTCAGTCAAGTGGGAAAGAGACGTTTAAGTGTGCTAAGGTAGAGACAGGTCAAAATTATTAAAGGCTCACAGAGAAAAGTAGCTCAGGGAAAGCTTCACAAAGGAGATAATGTTTCAGGGGGGCTGAGAATGAGTGAACTGGGTGGACCAGTAGAGAAATGAATAGGGTCTGAAGACACAGCTCCTGTGGGAGAACACGTGAGAGCAGGAGGTGCTTGGGGAGGAGGAAGACGGGGGAAGTACCCATGTTTTAGGGAGGGAGCAGATTATTCCCTGGAAAAGATGAGACTGTCCTCAGGGTGTGGTCTGGGCAGCCTCCGCATCACCTGGGAATTTGTTAGAAATGCAGTTTTTCAGGACCCACGCAGACATACTGAATCAGAAACTCTGGGGATGGGATCCAGAAATATGTGATTTAACAAGTTCTCCAAGTGAGTCTCATGCAGGCTAAGTCATGGACATAGAGTGAAAAGCAAAGCTCCCAATGACTCCATTTTATGTGAACCTTCTTCTCTCACTTTTCAGAGGGCACCTTCAGCAAGTCTGTAGGCTGAGAATTCCTAGGAAGAAATATCAGGGATCTAAACCAGAATAAATTCTAACTGGTGACCCTAGTATTTACGGAAAGAGGTTTTTATCTGTAATTCACAATATACAGGCATGCTCTCACTGATTTCTGTTCATGTTTCAAAACTGAGTATTGTCAGTGATGTCTTCTCCATAAACCTGATTCAGAAACAAGCGCACCACCTTTCTGTCGAGTGGGCTGATCTCCAGGAGCACGACTAAGCTTGAGAAAACGATCTCTTGATCTTAGAGATCACGATGTTGATTAAAACACTAGCGATGTGACGTCCTTCAGGGCAAATGCTTAATACCACAGAGCTCTGTGAACAAGCCCAGTTGACCCTTGAACAATATGGGTTTAAACCATGCAGCTCCACTTATAGTCAGATTTTTTTTCCATGGTCAATACTATAGTACTTCACCATTCGTGGTTAGTTGAATCCACAGATACCGAGGAACTGTGGATGCAGAGGGCAGACTACAAATTCTACTCAGACTTTTGTGGGTCCATGTGCGTAAGCCTGGCATTATTCAAGGGTCAGCTGTGCATCCACACCATGCCATCACACAAAATACTCTTTACTAATAAGCACAAATAAGGAAATAGGAAGCAAAACTATTTAGATATCAGCTAAGGTTGATAGTTAAGGATGAACTTGATTTTGTAGTGTGTTAATTTATGATAAGTAATATTTTCAAGGCCAAAAATGTCACTAATGCTATTTTGCATGTTTTAGCGCTTTTGTTTTCTCTGAAGTAAGCTCATGAAAAGAGTAATTAAATAGCTGTAGTGGAAGGCAAAGGTAGTGGTTTTGAGCATATTAATTGGGTGGTAATTTCAACAATAAAAAGTACAATTGACAATGTGGTGAAACATTATTAAAGAACGATGCTATGAGAACTGGGAGTTTAATAGGTTGAGAGAGAAACTGTTGGTACAAAAAGTAAGGGCAGAGATGATGCCTGATATTAATGCCTCCAGTAATAATAAAAATATATTGAATGTATTTTATGACACAAATACATTTGCAAATATGGAAAATTATGTTTCTTATTCAGAGAATGTTATGAGGCATGAAACCTCCTGAAGAATATTAATTACAATAAGGTAATGAAGAGAGAATGTGGCAGTTGGTGTGAGTCTGGAGAATATAGTTCTCATCAGGTTTTAACTTTCATTTGATTTCTACGATCAAGTCATGGAGCTTTACTGCCTCATTGAATTATTAGGTTTTGGTCAAAACTGAATTTTTTTTTTAATTCTTATTTTTTATTGAAGTGTAGTCCACTTACAAGGTTAGTTTCAGGTATATAGCAAAGCGATTCAGTTACGCATATACATACATACATATTTTCAAAAACTGAATTCTTTTTTGATCTAATTCCTAGTTGTTCTATGGCCAGTGGGAACATCTTATTCATTGTACCAAGCTGATTCACTGAGGGTCAGGCATTATCTCTCTCACTTGGTTCTCAACTCATTCACCAAATGGACAAGAAATTTAACTCTATCCTTTGCCCTTGTGATATGGGATGTGGACTCTACGTGAAACACCTTTCCATAGAAAGATTCTCAGCAATAAGCCACTTCTATAACATTCTAAGGATGGTCTTTTCATCACATAAGCACATAATAAAGATGAAGTTTAATGCCAACTTCTATCATCTTTCTTGTACAAGTACTGCTCGAATGCTCCTGCATCTTATGGAATATTCCCTCTAAGTTTGCTCATTGAGTCCATCACTGATTTATTTAAGGAAACCCCCTTCTTAACACAAAAACAAAAACAAAAAACCCAAGAAACCAAAAACAGCTACTGCAAAAAGTTAAAGTTTTTTGCTTTGGGGAAAAAAAAAATGTATGTGTTTAGAGCTGTCCTAAATCTCTTCTGTTTTGTTTCCTGAGTGTCCAGGTGACCTTTCATAACCTCGACACATTCTTAAAGTGGTCTTTCTTTCTCCTTTTTGTAGAAATCTTGAAGAACTAAGGAAACATACTCCATCCCCTGTCCCCTTTCCTTCTAAACGCACGGTAGCCAGTGATGCTTGATTATTTTGTGTTTTGAAATGTTTAGTTATTTGATGTGCATAACTCTTGAGGGAAAGAACATGTAACATTTTCCGTTTATATGCTCCACACAACCTATCATAATCTTGAGCATCAAAAATTGCTCATTGAATGTAAACATAATTCACTTAATGAGCTCTAGTTTCACTTGAAGTTGTTTCACGTAGCATGAGACTCCTCAGTCATTAGAGAACAAGAAAGGCTCCCTTAGAAGCCAGTCATTTACGAAGGAGGTGCCGAGTCTCCAATGTCAGTTCGTACTTTTACCTTCAGATCCAGAAGACAGTTTTTTACCCCTAAAAAGGTTATCTTATGGGAAAAGCTGTCCAAGATCCCTCAGCTTATTTTTGTATTTCCAAAGCCTTTTCATTGGCTCCAAGTGATTTTTTTTTTAGTTCCCGTTGAGAATGAAGCATTCAAAGACATCAGGTAAGAAAGATAAGACTCGGTAAGTTAGTGATGCTATTGGTGCTTACTCCTTGCAAAGGACAAAATATACATACCTGAAAATGAAAACAGCAATAGGATGAGTTCCAGGACCAACACACACAGTCGGGGGTTCCGGCAGTGAGGGCGCGGTGTGTTTGGGATTGTTTGTTTTCATGATGCCTTCGTAGGGCTGTGACTGCCTGTGCTTAGGGAGATAAGGAATATTGAGAGGGAACAGTTTTCCACTTAAGTATGGGAGGAACTAAAGTAAAATAGGCAGGACCTTCATGTTGCGGCAACGGTCTCTGAAAGGTTTGTTAAAGTTGAGCTGCTGATAAGCCCAGAATAGAAATAAGGCCAATCCTTCGGCGTTCCGACCACGCTCCAGAGAATGATCTTTCTGAGGTCAGTATTCACAGTTCTCACAAGTCTAAGGCATTTTTCTCTGTCCTCATTCTCCTTGACTTTCCGTAGCAGTTGACTCGGGCTCCCCACTATTTGTTATAGTCTCTAATCTGACACCCTGCCTGCTACATTCTTCTGTCCTCTTTCTTTTTGTCTGCTCCTGTCTTTCCAGAGAAAATGTGCAGGGGGCTAAAAGAGGCTAAATGTCCACCATGGATCTACTTCTGATTAGCTCTGTGTGTTGTGAAGGGACATAGGGGGTCAGGAGAGATCTGTTACTAGAAGGTCAAGGACACCCTTCAGAAGAAACTCTGCACAAGTGACTGACTGCCAGCTATGCAGGGGAGGGATGAGGACAGAAAGTTAGGGAGGGGAATCTGAGGGGCTCTAGCCTCCTCTGAAAGGAGCTTCCTGTGACCCTGAGGGGAGGCTTGGTGAAGCAAAGAATGAAAGAACCAACTCCCACTGTAGGATGACTTTGTGCTGGGCAACACATTCATTCATTATAAAAGGAAAAGTTGATAAATTACATCAAACTTTAAAACTTCTGTCCATCGAAGGACACCATTGAGAAAATGACTAGGAAATCCACAGAGTGGCAAAAAGTCTTTGCAAAACATATACCCGAGGTGTCATTGTCTCATTTTAGCTCAGAAAAATCCTTCAGGAAGGGATGATAATTACCCCTTTCCAGAAGATGAAAAACATCAGAAAATTTTTAATTTTTTCAATAACTTTTATGAACATTTTCAAACATCAATAAAGTTGAGGGAATTTTACAGTAAACATGTGTATATCATGTAAATTCAGTCACTAACATTTTTATTCTTATTTTACTACATATTTATCTATCTGTTTATTCCCTATTGATGAATACGTCAGTACATCTTATTTTTCGATATAATTCAAAATAGATTGCAGACATCAGTACATTTCTCCCCAAATACTTCAGCATGCATATATTAACTGGAGTTCAATATTTGCCTAGTGTCTTTTTTTTATTTTGTTATGAACACACACACAAATGCATACCTCTTAAGTGTTTTTTTAACAAAGATTTTTACAAATGTGTGCAGACCTGTGTAACAAAACTGTGATCAAGGTACAGAACACCAGTACCACCAGCAGCCTCCATCCCAGTCATCCCCACTTGTCCTCCAAAAGGCAATGCTGTTCTGATATTTTTTCACAATAGTTTAATTTTACAATTTTGCTTGTTTAAAAGTTCTTATAAATGCAACCAAAGAGTATGTACTTTTTCCTGTAAGGCTTCTACTCAGCCTATTTTGGTAGCTATCCAAGTCATTGGTATATTAGTATTTTTCCTTTTCATTGCTGAATAGTATTTCATCTTGTTATTAATATACCACTGTCTGTTTATTCACTCTTTTATTAATGGACTCCGAGGCTGTTTGCAGCTTGAAGATATTACGAATAAAGCTTCCATGAGCATTATTGTACACATCTTTTTATGAGTATCTATTCTTACCTTTCTTGTATAAATTCCTAGGAATGGAATTGATGTGAGATGTTTCTCCAAGTGACTGTGCCATTTTGTATATAAACAACATGTGTCAGTTGCATTTGCTCCATGTTGTTACCAACATTGGTGTGGTCAGACTTTCATATTCTCCAATCTGATAGGGTTTGTAGCATCTCATTGTGGTTTTAATTTTTATTTCCTGGAGACCAGTGGTTTTTACTTTTTATGTGCTAATTGTCCATTTTTTGTCTTTTTAATGAAATATTCAAATATTTTGCCCATTTAAAAATCGGATTATTGGACTTTTATTATTAAAATTATTTATGTCCTTGATACTTATTCTTTATCAGATATATGTTTCACAGGTATTTTCTCCCACTCTGTGACTTGCCTAGTCATTTTCTTAATGGTATCTTTTGATGAGCAGAAATTTTAAATTTTGATGTATTTTATCAATTTTTTAATACTTACTGTTTTCTAACATCTAAGAAAATTTTGTCTAGCTCCAAGACATGCACATACTCTCCTGTATTTTTCTTTAAAAGTGTTAGTGTTTAAGATGTTACCACTGGGCAAATGTTCAAATTAATTTTTGTACATGGTATGAGGTAGTTGTTGAGGTTTATTTTTTTCCATGTGGGTATCTAACTTTCTAGTACCCTTTGCTAAAGAGACTTTTCTTTCTCTGTTGTATTGCTTTGGTTCTTCTCAGAGACTTTTAAATAAATTACTCAAGATTTCACAGCTTGTAGGCCAAGGAACAAAAGTCAAAAAAAATCACATTTGACTGAAAAAAGCAAATTCACGTTCTTCCTGAAACATATATGGCTAATGGAAATAATGCTAATAAAAATAGCCAAAAATTAATAGTCACTGTGCTGTTTCTTAGCATAGATTATTTAATTTTTGAATCAACTCTATTAAAGAAACATTTTTAT